CTTGCCGTGCGATTGCTCGGAGTCGTGCAGGAACAATGCGCGGCAAAGCAAGGACCGCTTCCTTGGAACCGCGCTCCGTAGGGGTTTGGTGCTCATTCGCGACGGAGAGATCGTCTTCAGCACAGTTCCGCGCGGCTTTTCTATTCTGCTTACAGCGAGGAAGCCTGGGTGAGGCGCTAGAAGTCGTTGCTGCGTCGACGTTTGGGGCCCTCGGGCACTCCGTGGCGTCTGGGGGACGCGCCGTCGCTCACAGCAGCTGTCAGTTTCTGTCCTGGTAGATGAACTTTACCCCGGTTAAAATCAGACTGCCCAGTTCGGCAGAGCGCTTTGGAGGCGCGCCAGCTGGCACCGGCCGCCGCAGCTGCAGCGAGGAGGAAGGCTCCTCCAAGCACAGCAGGAGGGTGTCCGAGCCGGGGGCACCCAGCTCCGAGGGGACCGCCGCAGGCTTGAGATGTAAGTAGCGGAAGAGCCAAAATATTTAAAAATTAGCGAGTGCGCCGGCGAAGAAAGAGAGAGAGAGAGAGAGAAAGAGAGAAAGAAAGAACTCGTTCGCTCTGCTTTGCGCTGTCCCGTTCTAATATTGTTATTACACTTGATCTTAGCCAGAAGGTCGCTGTCTTCTGACCTTACGGCTGTAATGAAGTTATCTGAGTTGATGATGTTATTGTTTATCGGCAAGTTTCTACTAATGAAGACTTTGGATGTACTGCTGGTGAGGGTACATTTTGTTTGTTATCTGCATGACCATCAACTTGCTAATTTGGCTCCAGCACTAATGATGGGAACGTGCACATACGCCTGTCTGCGTGGGGGTGCCTGTGACCCTGCCCTGCCAAGATCAGGTTCATCTGACATTCCCTGACTTGCAGCTGCTGAGGAGCAGAGGCTAATCAGCTTGTAGGAAAGTGAGTTTTTGTAGAAAGTGTATTACTGTACTAGAGAAAGCTGGGAAGGGTGGCGGGTGGTGATTAGCGAAGGCAGCTTTAGGTAGGTAATCCGTTGGATACAGCACTTCGCAAACGCTAGGCTCCCTGCAGTTGCTGCGAGGAGCTTCTCCTCTTTGGGGTACGGTGCGTTTTGTAAATGTCTTTAATGGGACAGGAGGTTAATGGCACTCTGAGTGTATTTTTGTCTGAAACAACTTGGCAGCAAATTTATTCACTTTTTAAATTTTTTATGGTTTCCCTTTTCTTTTGACTATGGAATCCCCCCCCCCCCTTAATAAATGTGAAATATTGGCCTGATTAGCAAAGCTTCAGGTTTTGATTTAACCGAGGCTGTAGTTGTATTCCTTTCTCGGAAAGTCCTACTCAATTTAGTGGGATCAGCAATATTAAAACACGCACACAGTTCAAAGGGAGAAAGTTACTCAGATTGGAAACCAGCCGTGAGCGAGCAGTAGTCTGGATCGCGTGCTGCGTGCTGGAGGGGCAGGCTGCGGCGTGGTCAAGGACTGGGAATCTGAATACTAGTGGAAATGCCTCTCTGCTGCCAAGCCTGAGATGTGTCCCAAGTTGCCTGGCGATCCAGGTCAGAGAAGGAAACTTCATACGACCTTAGTCCCCGAAGGTATCGGTTGTGGTTACAAGGGTGGTGGTTGGTGATCCATTGGACCTGACTGTAGGAGACCGGTGGCTTTCGGAACTGAGGCCAAGGGTCTCCGAGTGCAGGGGGAGGGCCTTGCCCAAAGAGGCTGGAGCAGGGGAGTTGCCTCATTGTGATATTTGGGGTCTTGGTGTGAGACCGCAGCCAACCAGGATGCTGTTTGTAGAGGATAAAAATAGCAAGAATCTCTATAGCTCAGGCAGAGGAGTTGCCCGGCAAGCAGGAATTCAGGCCTGGGAGAGATGTTTTAAAATGAGGGGGACCTTTTCTGGAGCCGTGAGCTATTGATGTGCGTGTAAGTCTGTAACTTAAGAGGCGAGGGAGGGAGGGAGGCTGCTGGCGTGGCTTCCTATTTGTGTGTGAGTAACTCCCTCCATTTCTACACATCCTCTTTTTATTCAGCAGTTGGTTTAGATCAAGAAAAAAGTCACAATCCTGAGTTGCGAAGGCATTGGTATTTTAGCCCTTGAACGCTTGGGGTGAATGCATTAATTAGAACAGGTTAGTATATGTTAGCGCAGTTGGCAGCAGGCTAGGTGATTTAGGGGACCGCCGTTGGGCTTGTACATGTCACACCGAGGTTGCCCAGTGCCACTTCTCTAGGGTCAAAACAATCTCTTTGTTTAAGGTACACTTTGGGGGAGGGGGATCCACGAGCCTTATACGAAGTTGCTGGACTCTCAGGTCCAAGGCCACGATTCTGAGTCCCCACCCCCTCTGCGTGCACAAGTATTCCTTCCCCAGCTGAATGCCGTTACTCTCTTCTTATCTCTAGGGTTCCTGAATGGTTCTGCTAGTGTTCTTGGCCTTGTTGCTTGGGGTGTGGTTGGTTTGGATCAAGATGGCGAAACGTCCTCCACTTGGTTCGGAAAAACTGAAGCTTGAGCATCCTGTCCCAGAGCAGCCGACCACTCCCGAAGTGCAAGAGCTGCCTTCCAGCGGATCCCCTCCACAGTTCCCGGAGGATGGGATGAAAGCTGTACCATCGGAGCCCAGCCAGGCCCCTGCAACCCTGCCGCACCAGCCCCCTCTCCGCAGCCAGGTGCCCGCAGATCCCTCTGGGCAGCCTGCACACCCCTCCTGCCAACTGAAGCCCCCCATTCCCCGCTCCTCCTCGGACTGTTTGCTGTCTCCGGCTGCTGATCCCACAAAGCCTTTGAGCCGGTTTGTCAGTGTTTCCACAACGCAGCTCTTGAGGCAGATGCGATCCCTGTCGTGCGAAGAGCAGGCCGCCTGCCCGGCCCAAAGGAAGCAGCCAGCCTTGCCCAAGTTTGTGTTGGGCTCCTTTGAAGACAATTCTTCTGATGAGGAGCTTGTAGCCGGGGGAGCCTTTCCAACGGGTCGGAGGAGACAGAGCTGCCTGGCCAACCTCGGCTCCTCCTCCTCCTCCTCCGTGGATTCGGAAGCTAGCATGGTCATGAGGTAGGCAATGTGGTGGCGCGGCTGGCTTGGCGGGAGCAACCAACTCGAGCAGGGTCAGGATGGGCTGTCTCTCGTTTTCCAACATTTGGTTAAATGCGATTTACTTCAGGAGGCGTTTGACCTCTGGATCCAAGCTACTGTTCAGCGAACCCTTATTTTAGTAGCTTGGATCTGCATTTTGACCATTTTTTGGGGCTTGTTTTCAGTATTTTGTACCATTGCCATTTTAAAATGTACATGTAGCTGCTCCATGCACAACAGACCTTATTTCATATATAAGAGTCATAGACTGCTTCTGTCCCAAGGGATCCTGGGGGGCCTGCCAGTTGAAAACCTCTCAGAATAATTAGTACATAACGTAATGAATTAAAAGGGGAATGCGTATGTATATATATGTGTGCGTGCATGTGTGTCTATTCTGACAAATATATTTGTGTGATATGGACTGAGTTTGATAGACAAAACAGTCCTGCTAGCTTCAGCAACCAGAATGTCCTGATCTGATACAGTATACAGAGGAATACGGCAGCTTCCTCTCGGGTAAATGTGCATCAGACTGCAGCCCAATGTAGTTCTGGGCACGTTTGTCTCAGGCTAAGCCATGTGAAATGCAGCAAGGTGTGTTTAGGATCGGCCTAACTGCTTCGTGGCTTACTGCTCTAAGAATGCCAGTTGTTGATCTTGGGGCTTTTCTGCTGTGCTCCGGAACAACTGGAAAAGGAGAAAGCAAGGCTCAGCAAGAGGTTAAAATAGAATCATATCAGTACTGTGACGTTCTGATAAAATGCTTAAAAACAACAACGGAAAAGCTTACCGGTGTGTCATTTCTCCTGGTTGACTCAGTAATCTGAGCAAAACCCAGTTTGGGCTTCTGTTTGTTTTAATGTGTTTGCCCTATTTGTTTGGTTGGGGTTTTTTTTACTCTGTTTCAAGTATTACAGACTTCCCATATTTGGTATTTTAATGCCAGAAAGTGGCACTGCCAGGACAGAAATATCAATTGTTCTGGGGTTTGCAGGTGCAAAATTCCCTCCCTGTCAGTCTGCATGGGAAAATTGCTAAAGTATTGCAATGATCACTTTCAAAGGCGAGGTGAATGGTTATTGGAAAGGTGTTTAATTCAGAAGTGTTTGGAACTCCTTCCTTAAGAATACCTACTCTGTCACTCTCTGTGCAGAAGCTTTTTTGCAGCAAATTTGTTTTGG